CCGAGACTCGAAGCACTTCACGTAACCGCTCTCCAGCAGTCTGTTGACTTCAGCTTCAGCCGCAGGGTCGTCGTCCACGGAGGTGTAGTTGCCGTGATAATCCTCGGCCCAACCTTCGTGGAGGCCTAACTCCGGCTCAGGATCAACGGATGATGGGAAAACACCGTCATCGCCAATCATAACCTCGATGCCGGCCGGAGCTCCTGCGATGAGCCATTGATGTATATGATCCGCGTCGGGGTCGTTGACTGCTTTGGCCCAACGATGCAACAGCTCAGCTTGTAGCTTGGTGTCCATGCCCACACCACCGCATTGAGATACTTCGGGAAATGTTTGCCGCATCAAGGCCCTGATGTCCTCGATAACGTCGTCCAGTGGGCCTGCGTCGCTGGCCTCTGACCCAAGTGCCTCGCAACACTGCTTGACGACGTGTCGGTTAGCAATGATGTAGTCCACGATGCGCTTGTGCAGGACACCGCCAGCACCACGATAACCAGGTATTAGCTTCAGCGCCTTGTTAGGGCGCCTCACGCCGCCCAAATGCGTATCATCTTCCGAAGGGCGCTTGCCCCTCAACGGGTGCCGATGATGATACCCTGCTTGGGTACTTGCCTGCCTTTCAGGCTGTACCGGGAGTCGCCGAGAGATCTTGTTCCATCCAATGTGTTTGAATGGCAAGGTCAACGTCGTATTGGCACCATGACTGATGCCAGGTTGGCTTGATCTCAGCGATCCCACAAGCTTTGAGGCCAGGAAGTGATTCAGCCCCGCCGGATAAGAAGCGGACGTGGTGGTGAGATAGGCGTACTGGTTGTTGCCGGTAACCACCTGGTTTGGGGAACCATCTAATAGCGTCCATGGCACCTTACCCTTGAGCGGGGCGTGTGCCCCGTAATATCGCTGGCCATCGGACGACCTGGTCCACCAAACTTTCTCGTGATTGCAATCCCGGCTGATGCCCATGAGGTCAACGTGAGAGCAGATCACAGTGGTGCGCTTGGTACTTGATGCCCCAAACATACACTGGTCAAAATTTGCCAGATGCACATCCAAAGGTCTTGGTACTCATCCAAGTTGAACATGCTGATGGTCGACGGGTCGCGTCGCCTCCAAAACGGTTGCTCCAGCACGACTGGTTTGCCTTGCTTCCGAAATTCCCGAAAGACTCCCAAGGCTCGCATCGCCAACAACGTTCCCACCTTGACCTTGTCCTTGTCCGCAGGTTTTAGGTTTGGCAATCCATAACGTTGTGAACCAGTCGGGCCCCTCAAGGGCCCAGGACCCCCATCCGAGGCCGTGCGAGCGCTGGAGTATGTATTGCACCGTGGACCCAACACACCTCCATCATAACGGCCGTGGCGCACCTGCTTGAGCAACTTTTGGTAATGGTGTTCGTCCACCAAGTCAAACTCAGAGCCGTTCACGATGTCGTAATCGTCGCAACCAGCTCCCAGCTCCTGCAAATAATGCTTAGACCATCCACGCGATCAGATGGACCACTAAACATGTGCAGAAACACAGGTTGGGAGGTGGTCGAATGTACGGGCTGCGGTTGCTCATCGGCGGCCTCAGCTTTCAGCTCCATCTGAGGTGATTGGGGCTTTATTTGCGATGACCCTGAATTCCCATGCATATCCTGGCCAGAACCCTGGCCTCACTTGCGTTTCCCAGCTCCTTTACCACGGCCTTTGCCGTGGTTGGCCCTAGGCTGCTTGGGACTGGTAGTGGGACACTGCGATGCCCCGTGCATTGGCGATAGGCACCTGGCACATTGATGACGTGATGTAGGTGAGCGCCTGCACGAACCATCCGGGTTTGTATCTTTGCACTCTCCTTTTTGGAAACCATCACATAGTAGAGCGCCTCGCCTATTGTGTGTCAACAACCCATCATCGCCGATCCTGTGCATGCGCTCCTGATTCTTACGCTTCTTCTGAGGTTGTGGATTGGAGTCAAGCGTCGGATGAGACGAAGAACCGCGTGAGATGGGGGCATCCGCATCGACAATATTTTGCACCGATGCAGAACTGGCCTTAACCAATAGACAAGGCTCCTCAATCTCCTTGTGCCAGAACCTTTGATCCTCAACGAGCGCATTCCACACGTACTCCCACGGCTTAGCAGGATCATAATCATGTGGCATGCCCGAGCTAACGGCCTTCTCTCGATCATCAGCTCCTTGACGTCGCATCCTCTCCGAATGCTCGAGCCTGGCTCGCACGTCAGCCTGATATATTATAGCCCAGCAGCTGTCGCCATAACGCTCAACGTATGAACGAATGTTCTTCTCATAGCTGATAGATAGTAAGGTGTTTGGTTCAGCCGCCCAGAATCAGTGAACTGCATAAACATACCGCCTCTAAACATGCCAAGCGGCCCACCTCCAAAAAGCCATCTGCATCAACGTCAAAAAACATGGCTCATGGCACTACAAGGGTGTCGACTGCATGTCCTCCAAGCAGAGTCCAGTTCGTTTAAGAGAGTGTACGAGCGGTTGGGCCTCAAGCTACCTAGCACACAACACGTTACTTACCAAAACACCTCGCAAACACAGTACAACATGCGTCGACCTACAGTACTCCTCCCCTACAGGAAGGGTGAAACACTTGGGGTCCTTTAGTTCTTACCTCCCTTTCCACGGCCCTTGCCGCGGCGAGCACCCCCACTGCCTCTACCTCGGTTGCCCTGATTACCTTGGTTTCCATTCGAATTGTCAGATCTGCGATTTCGGCGCTGCTGCTCCTCAGCTGTGCGATGTATGAAGACTGTCCAATCTTGCTGGGGTGATTTGTTCCATCATGATTGCCCCGGTCTTGAACACAGCATAGCACTCCCGCCATGCCGTAAAAGAAGGTGGACCCGGAACTTCAACGGAAGTGATCTCGTCCGCCTGCGTAATTCTAACCCCCTTGGCTTTGAGCTTCTTCTGTATCCTGTGATGATACGGGCCCCAAATGGCGAAGTCCGTATAAGGAGGCCTCCCCATACGGAAAAGCTCAAACAATGAAGTGACTTGTTCAATAGACAGCTCCTCGTCAGCAAATGGGAATGCCCCCACCTTCCTTTTGTATTGCCCATACATGGCTGTCAACTTGGCGCTGTCCAAGACATCAACTTCATTGTCATCGGCTTGATTTATGACTGTCGCCATCTTGATCTTGCGATTGGCAGAAGAGGGGGCAGCAGGGGGGGTACCAGCAGCAAGTGATGCAGCATGTAATGAAATAGATGGCGTGGTACCTGCAACGAGCCGGCATGTCCTACCAAACAATCCACCTTGACATCGCTGTGCAAAGCTTGGTCAGTAGAAGCGTCCGCCCCAAAGCGCCAGCCATTCAAGACAACGGTGTACTCTGCTTCTGTAGAAATTCCCACTACACGCGGGTGCTCTGAACCGTCCAGGCCTAACAGAGCAAAGAGGGATCCGCGGGGAGTCGATCTATCAGTAGGCGTACCGCCCAACCCGCACCATGTGGCAACGTTGCCCACATTACGGAACCCCTGAAGCTCAGCATCGGTTGGATCAAGTGCCATGGACCTGAAGCTGCAGCGATGTCGACATGCCCTGGGCTATCAAATCTTTCTGATGGCCTTTTGGGCACTTGACCCAAAATGGCACACAGAACACCACCTCCGTCCATGTGCTTGCATGCTGTTCTCGCTCACATAAATGTCCGCTATAAGATGACAAAAGACAAAGAAGGAAAAGGAATACCGACAGCCGGCTACAACCGGGATCTCCTCGTGTCTCTGTGTGTGTGGCTCGATGTGCTATTGCGAGATGCTGGCGTGCCCTCTTGAAGCTTGTGAAGTGTCGGTTCTGCGAGGAGGCTTCAAAAGCCGTGGATAGTATGGCAGGCAAGCGATTTCCAAGAAGAGTTTCAGTACAGCGTTCCGAGAGAGCTGTGTCGTGAAACGTATTTACCAACGAATGGTGAACATAGCATCGAGCCGCAGAGCTGTCCAGGGCTCTTTCTGATCTCCCAGCACACCATAGCACACCCATGCCATGCGTTACTTCCCTTTGTATGCTCCTTGTTTCCAGAATGGAACATGCGGCATTGCTGTCTTGTGGTTTGCTGAGTGTCTGACACACAGGTGTGCCCAGTCGCCAGCTGCGCCCTGCAAGCCCAAGTTGATTTTCATGCTCCGGAAGATCCCGGGAGGCCCTGTGTGGCCTGGCCTGTGCATGGACTTCCCTGGCAATCTTATCCAACTGCGTGAGCCTCAGGGTCAAAGCACAAGGCAATCTATTTACAAGTATGTATATATATATATACATACATACATACATATTGACATACATATTGATTTATTTATTTATTTATGTATTAATCTATTTAAACATTTATATATATATATATACATATATATATATGTCACTTGCTCTTGAGCCAAGAACCCATGGGAAGGGGCGTAGTCCACGATGTCGACCTCACGCAGAGAAGCGAAATAAGTCTTGCACAACATGGGGCATGACCTCCAGAAACTAGCCTCGAGCAGCGACATGGTTGCCACCAGCGCCAATATTCCGACACAGACCTTCTGTCGAATCTTCTAGCCACTGTAGAAGCTTGTAGGACTTCAGGCACGACTCAGCGCAGCAAGAAGGTCAAGGTTGTGCCTTCATGGCAGTACTGTCGCTTAGCCTTTGAGTCAGTGCCCAGACCTCAACACTCAAGAGGAGTCAAGAGGACTTAAGTAGGGAGAAAGCTTTCCGAAGGCTTCACTGGGGTGGGGCACGCTGCCACCATCGCTTTCCAAATCTTGACGATGAAACTCAACCAGATGCACCCCTGCCGAAGTTGGCAGGGTTGCTGATGTTCATGCCAGCCACTGCCAGTCAGCACACAGTGGCCTAGCTTGGTCTGCATGAGGATCTCGCTGAAAACGTCAACGCTGAGAGAAGGTTCTTAGTTGGATTCAGCTTATCGCTGAGGAGAAGTCGCATGCGACTCGCCCATTACAAGTCAAAGCGAGATTTGGGATCAAGTCTTTGTTCACTTTCCCTTCTGCTGCTGTGCTTCGGAATGTTGCCCGCGCTGTCTCTGACAGACGGGGCCGTGTTGGGCTGTGCTCCTGCTTTTGGTTGCCCTTCGCGCCCGGGCGATCGCTACAGGTCCCTTTTCGGCTCGTTGGATTGGTGTCGCTGACCTTCGAGTTCCCTTGGTGAAGATGGAGCAGATCAACGGAGTCGCATGGAACTTCCGAATCAGGGCGGCCATCCTCCTCAGGATCTGGCTAAGCTCGTTCACATGACCACTTTCGTCTTGGCCACAACTCAACAAAAGCTCAGAATCCTCACAGAGGCAGATGCACAAGGATCGAGCACTCGGTCTCACGTTTGCCACGAGCCTTCTCGAGCATCTTGACAACATCACTCTTGTCCGGGCGCACGTGAGGACACTCCTGGCCACGTGGCCGCAAAGAACTGCAGGTGTCAGGTTCGTGCGGTTCGTGATTCAGTGGTGATATCAATGCAGCAAGCCAACAGCAAGCCTATGGCCTATGCAAGGAGAGCCGGCACAATTGCCTGGCCTGTAAAAGGGCCAAGTAGAAAATCTTCAAATCGAAAACGGAGAGCTTGCCATCCCCTTGACGCAAACAGGTCCAGCTCTAAACGATCTAAGCCTCTCGTGCGCCAGGATCCCTGCGAGCCGTGTCCAAGTATTGGAAGAGACGCCACAAGCGCCTCTGGTCTCGACAGAGTCCGCTGTCCATGCAGGAGGCCAGGAGCCGCTACAGTCCGCTGTCCAGTCCGCTGGAACCAGGGTCTGCACCGCAACAGCAGCTGCTCGGCAAGTGCATTGCTTTGCTTCCTGGCAGACACAACGCTTCTTTAAGGAGACACAGGCAGGCATGAGCGTGTCCTGCAAAGCTTGAGCACACGTGGAATCAGCTTGGTGACCTGGCACGGCAAAAAAAAACTGGCACGGGATGGCTGGCTCTAAGCTCTGTGCAACCAAGTCTCTCGAGCTACTCTTCCGATTCTGGCAATCCGTGCTATCCTGGAGGATCGCGCCTCACCCACACACAAATCACGAAGGAGTCTACTTGAGTCTACCTCTGTCAGTCGCCCTTCTGAGCTCCACCGCTAGTTTCGTGAGCGATGAGCTCTTCGTGTCCACCGCAATTTCGGCCATGAACCTGAACGCACTGATCGACGGACTTTCGTGCTCGTGTTTTCAGCCGACTAGTGGTAGCCTTGTTGATGTGTACACGTGTGGTCGGGACACCCCGTCGCTCGTGGCAGACGGTCTGGCATACCGGCCAGAAGGGTTCCACCCAACATCAAAGTCGGTGTCAAATCTGCGTTCCGGATTTGTGTTAGGTTGTCTCCAAGCGTTGCGATGTGGTCGGGCTCCTGGAACCGGCAGGTTCCTACAGGATGCCTTGGATCCTTGGGTCGCCAACGCTCCCGCCGCCACCGAAGCCTTCCGCAGCGCCTCGCCACCTGCGATCCTCCACGTCTGGATCAGGCATGATCAGGCTGGACAGACAGACGCCTGGCTGTTTCAGGACGGCAAGTCAAATCAGCTTCGCCAGGGTCCAGGCCAGGTGTCAGCAAAGATGCTGACCAGGGAAACCTCATGACCAACAACATCCTAGCCGCGCATCACTTCGCGCAATGCCTGGGTGCCGCACAGCATCCAGTACAAATGGTATCGACAAAATGTAGCTTCCTGATGACGGTGCTGGTGATAGCTGACTAGTGCGATCAGTCGAAAGCGGGCCTTCCACAGAAACAATGAGGATGAGCTCGAACAAGAACCTGTAACAGCGGAAACTCGACTCCAAGGCCCAACAAACTTCTGCCAAGGTACAGAAAGAAGACAATGGTGTTCGCCGTGAGGAGCGTTTTCTGGCATGAGAAGCGCTTTACCACGGCACTGTCTGCCGACTCAAGCAAACTAAGAAGGCGGAAGAGCATCAGCATCGCTGTCTGTTAAAATCTGGATGAGATCTGGAAAAACGAGAATGTAGACCGTGAGCCTCAGTGCTTTCAGCAGCAGTATGTTGACATGGAACTGAACAACGGTGTGTATCGACGTCTCTGCAGATTTAAGAATCAAGCAGGAAAAAGAACACGATGAAAGGCTTCTTATTGGTGATGCTCTGAAGAGATCTTGAAACCTCGCTCGCATGCACTATCGGCATACCTCATGGCATTCTAAGTCTGTTGCGGCCTTGAAGGCGCGCGGCCCGCAAAGACGTGTTCGCAGCCATGCCTGTGAAAAGCAAGACGCCCAAAGCCCTGTCTGTACGGGAACAGTTTGGATGATGCATCGAAGCTATCTAAAAGCCCTCACACTGCCATCTTGACCTGTTCCGGTTGTCTCTCTTGTGGCATCCCCTGGTGGCGCCTCAGCCTTCTTCATGGCCACGCGCATGGAGCTGCTTTCGACCATACCCCCTGCGGACCGCTTCAGCCTGTACATGACTCGGGGCTTCTTTGCGGAGCTTGTTCGATGAAGGCCACTAAGTCACTAAGTCTTGCACAGCTCCTCCTGCGCGACAAAAACCTCGGTGAATTGCGAAGGCTCCAGCTCCACTGTCCAGTTGTCCATCGCGCAACGGCTTTTGGCATCAGCTTGCCGGCAAGTCACATGTCTAAGCACGGCCGGCAAGCCTAGATGCTGTGGCTGGAGCTTGTATGTCTTCCTTAGGGTTTGCGAGATAAGGTCAAGGTATGTCAAGGTACTGCTGCCAAAAAACCTCGTGCTAAATGGCAACTCGATCTTGCCAAGGCTCTTTCTGGCAGGAAAAAGAGCCAGCATAAGCTCCTGCCACAAAATTTGTTAAATGGAGTGCGCCCGCCTTCAAGAAAGTTATGGAAACATGTTGCCGTAGGCGCTCATCGGGCTGGCTCAGCGGCATTTCATGCTGCACCAGCCCCAGTCGCAGCGTCCTTGAACCGGTTTGAGGCGCTTGCGATCGCTTGCGTTTCATGTCGGATTTTGGCCCAACATACAAACAACAACGCACGGTGTTCGCGAAAGTACAGCTGAGCCGTAGCCGCTTCAGCCTTCGGGGCAAAACGGCCTCGCGAAGTGCACTCGCAGCCTGCTTCCGACCAGGAAGCGGTCGGCCGTTGGGGCCGTTGCGTGACGGCAAGGGCTTCGACCGCACTCTGCATTGGTCCAGGGAAGTTGCTGCAGCTGAAGTGGGACCCACGTCGTCATGGAGCTCCGTCTCTGGTTTCACGGAAGGCAACCGAATCGGACAGCCTGAGGCAGCTTGCGCCGCCGCCGTAGTCGCCATGTTGCTGCCCGATCCCATTATTTTCCTTCTCGTGCACGTCGAAAAAAGGAAACCCGAAGAGCCTTCTCTGTCCCTTCCAGGCGTCCGACTGTTTTGCCAGCAAAATTCGGTGAGAAACTAAGACCAAAGAACTCATTCGTTTCGTCACGTCCTCGAGACCACCCCAACTCTCTTACCGCGCCCGGGGGTAGCTGTCCATCGTCTGCCCTCAGCGGCGGTAGCTCTTGTCAGGTTAAAGGCCTCCGTCTCCTTGATGGCCCAGGGCCGATAAAATCGCTTGCCGTCGAGGCTGCAAAGCTTGTCCGAGCTCGCCAGCACATCCTGACAGGCTTTCCAGGCTTCACAGTGTATTCCGAAGCCTTTTCCCCACCCCTCTTCTTCTCCAAGCTGTTCTTTTCTGTTGCTTCGTCGCCACTTCCTTCCGTAAGCTTCATCAGCTCTGGCCCGGATGGTAAGGGAATCCTGTCTCGGTCCACAATCGTGTCATCACGTCAGGAGCGGCCGCAAAGATGGCAGCTGACAGAACACCTTCCACGCCGCAGCAAACGTGATCTGTGTCGTGAAAATATGCACATGTCTCCTGCTTGAGCTGTTGACCCACAGACGTGTCTGTGCTATCCTTCGTAGGTTGGCCGTGGCATGAAAGAACCGGCAATCTCGCAGGGAGGGGCGGGTTTTGCATCTAGGTAGCACTTAAACCACAGAAATGCGCAACAACCGTTCTTGGGAGCGAGCGGCAATAAAACAGGTGTTGCTTCTGCAGGCACAAGACTTGGTGAGTTAGAAGCAGCATCCGGCAACCTGATCCCCACATCATCGCCTAAGGCAGTCCTTCTCTTGCCCGAACTCTTTCTCACCAGAGCCACTGCCACCTGCACGGCACAGACATGCCCACATGATGTTGGTTCCCACTTCACAATTCGGCAGACCTTGGCGATTCCATCCGACTGGATTGCTTGAACCTTTTAAGTGCTCGTCCTCCTCCGCAACATTGAAGCCCAATCTGCGATGCGCTTTCAAGCGTCAGCATTGCATTTGCACGTCAGGAGTCAGCTCAACATCTACAAGCAAAACGGCCTTAACATTGTTACCTGTTCGATCACTGGGATGCTGGCTTCTCCAGTGTTCGCTCCAAGTCTGACCTTCCAGCTCAGTGTCTCAATGAGAGTTCGCGCTGCAAGAGACCCTCGCCTTTCGACGCCCGCTTGCGTCTTGTCGCGAGTAAGCATCGTGGAAACATCCTCAGTCTTCTTCAACAGGGTCTTCGCGATCTTCGGGCGAATCAACGTGCAGGCTTGTTGCGGCTTAAACAATGCAAACAAGCATAATCTGACGACATGTCCGGAGTCCGCACTTTGTCGACCAAGGTCCGGGCGTTCTCCAAGAGTGCTGCGGCATTCTCTGCATGCCTCGCAATCAACTCGCTGGACTCGGGACGTCGAATTCTGTGCATCTCAGTTCTTCACTGAACGCCCTCGTCCTCAGCGGCATGGATGCAAGCAAAACCTGCTCAACCTAAAGCTGTGTTTGCGAGTGGCTGTTGGCGCGGATAAGCGGAGAATGCCAAACGCCAGACGAAAAGCCTAAAACCAAAAACTCGAAAAGTTACACTTGATAAAGATCTTGCGCGAAAAACCAGAAAACCCGAAAAGGCGAAAAGCCAAGAAAATACGCCAAAAGTCAAAAAGTACAGCAACAAGCGAAAAGTTAAAATAGGAAAAGCCGGGTGGAAAAGTGCAGCAAGACGTGAAAAGTCGCAACGTACAGACAAAAGCAAGTTTAAAAGTGACAAAAATCACGACAAAGTCGAAAAGTACAGCAGAAGGCTACAAGTCGAAAAGTAAACAAATCGAAACATCGAAAACGATCGAAAACGATAAATCCGTAACCACCAAAGAAGGGGAAAACTCAGCAAGCCTGGTCAAATATCACTGAGACAAGTGCTTCCGGGGAGTTCGCCTAACACGAAGACCCAGCTCGGCCAATGAGCCTGACATTGCTTCAAACTCAACCAGACTGGACACTTGGTGGTTCCCAGACCCGAAACAGAGGTCCGATTCGGTGCTGTCGGAACCACGAGATGCTCAAAAATCATTGAATGTTGCCATTAAGGGTTCCTGAAACCAGAAAAATGAAAAATGCCTATGGTTTCGTTCATTTCAGGTGTTCTAAGGATGCCCAATGATCAAAATCCAGATGGGAATTTCGCGCTCGCGCAAGATTCTTGGTTGGCTCCTCAGACCCGCAAAACAAATTCGAAATGCCTGTGTCATAGTAACTCTTTGGTGCCTTCGGGCACACGAAATGCTCAAAAGTCATTGAAACTTGCTTTTTACTGTTACAAAATCTGAAAAATACACCAAAATACGGTTGAGAATACCAAATCACCGGAATTTTCGAGTCTGGAGTTCCCAAGCCTGTTAAAAATCAGTCGAAGCAAAACCGAGCAATAGAAAACGGAGTATGTTTCTGCTACTTCTGGATGCTTTTGACCAAAACCTAGATGAAAAACATGCAGCTGGGTGGCTCCTAAGATCCGAACAACCGTCAAACAAATAACACCGAAAGAGCACAATTGAAGAGTTCGCCTAATCCGAAAACTCAGCAAAAATACGCGTGTATTGCCTACTTATTGGTGGCTTGGGCGGAACCCGAATAAATGGTTTGTCTGACATTCAGCAAAGTTTGTCATTAATATCGATTCTGCTGAAAGTTACTGCCACGACGAGTGACAGAACTACTACGACTACTGGCGACTGCCAATCGTTTTACTGCTGCCACAGGCCTAGCCCTCGGCCAAAACGCGAAAGTCGAAAAGCCGAACACATTTCGACTTTTCGACAGAGGTAAGTCGGTTCTCCGCTTATCGAAACCAACGCCTGCTTGCATACTTGGCAACCTTTGAGGTATGCTGTACTTTGAAATGGAGCAGAAACCTGGGATGCGCACGGACTCGTCCGACCCATCACCCTCGTCAGACCTCCAAACGATCAGATTGTCGTCCGCCAATGCTGACAAGGCCACCCTGCCTGGTACTGTTGCCGATGCCCCTTGGTGCATGCATTTCTGCAGAAGTTCTTCAACTTTAAGCATTTCTCAGTGGAGGGCTGGCTGGTTACCACAACATGCCTCGAATCAGAACGGCTTGAACACCCGGCAGGGTCTCGGCTCAGCTTGGCCTGTTTCTCTTTGCGCTCTCCTTCTCCGCCTTGCCAAAGACTCCAGCACTCGCAACACGAAGCTCTTTCGTAGTAAAGTGTGAAACAAAATTGTCTCCGGTATGAAATGGCATGAGCGCTGCCGATACCCGTTCCCATCGTCCTCATCTTCGTCGTCCGATTCCTGGTCAGACTCGCATGAATAGTGCGGCCTGCAGGACTAGACAGGAGACCTCCTCGTCTCCAACATCCTCAACAGGATGAGACGTTGCCTCAAGCGGGACACCCTAACAACAGGAATAACAGCATAAACGTCCACGAGGAGCCAGTGCCACTGGCGAAATTCTGACCTGGCCCGTCATCGTGGCCTGCCAGAATGGCATTGTGCTTGAAAGATGGACGCCAACACGCAAAGCTGCACCTTCGGCTGACTTCCTTCCCGCACAGACTAATGCTGGAGTTTCGCATTGTGCTGAATCCTTCGATCAACTCATGCCAGACGTGCTTCTCGCGGTCTATGGGTCTCTGGGTGCTCGTTTTCTCATCTTTACGGATGCTAGCTAGTAGCAGCTGCCAGATGCATGCTCTTCCGCGGTAGAATCGACACTGTATGCTTGGAGCCATCAATCAACCCGATGAAAAAGAAACTGGACTGGCAGGCGGCACCATTCAATGATGTACCTGGTCATGATGATCTCAGAATCTGAGCTTCTGTCAAGCCACCTATCGCCCGAATGTTCCAACTATCTCCACGGATTAGGGGCCCTGCGTTTTTCTGACGCGGCATGCCTACTCTGACAAGAGCATGGCGCATATCAACACCTTCAAGTACGGGAGCAGCTTCTCTGAAGGCTCCCAGAAAGGCATCTGAACAATTGCTCGGTGAGTTCCTACGCCTTGCGACTCTACAAAAGGCAAAATTCTAGCGCGCGAATTGAGCGAAGAGCCTACTCTTCAGCTGCACGTAAAGACTGGTCCATACGACCAGTCCACCGGCACCACCTTTGAATTGTAACGCTGCGGTGGATAATTATCAAAAATTTGATACCCTGCCACTTCCGAAGCAACAAAACGGATTGCTAGTGTTCGTGTTTTATTGGCATGCGGTAAGAAAGTGTTGAAACAGCTGCAGGCAAAAACCAAATCGACCATGCAAGTGCAATCTCTTTGCGACGTAGCAGCAACTGGTTAGAGGCCTTCGAGTCAGGCAAAGACGCGGGAAGCAGATGGGAATGCGGCTTCTTCTTCACAGCTGAATGGGACCAGCGCTTGAAGCGTAATCCTTAGCTGAAACACCCTGCCATGCGACAAGTTGCAACAAAACTTCACTGCCCTGCTGCCCTCCGCTCGCGAGAGCATGGAGGTGCGGGCCCAGGCAGCCCATGAGTGTGCTCAGAAACAGCACCGCTCACTAGCTGCAGGCACCTCCTATACGGTAGATGATGCAAGCTCTCCGGCTTACCATCACTGACAGTGAGAACGGCAGCCGACTAACAATCTCACGATTTGGAAAGGATCTCTTCAAGACGATTTTGGAGTTCGCGTTCCATGGCACCTTTCGGCGCCCGCCCATACTTCTCAAACCCTCCTGACGCGACAAGGCAGCAAACAGCCCATCCACTATTTTTTGCAGCGCAGGTGTTGTGTGGCAACATACGCTTTCATGTGCTTCTGTCTTACGTGGTAGCAACCCGTCAGTAGACCAATGACTGTGGTGTTGTGGCACCCTTCATGTGAGCGTCGATGGCTTCCTTCTACTGGGGCATGATGGCGGTGTCTACGGCATTATGAAGCAAAGCAGCCTAAACATGAACATGAGGAGGTCCTTGACCATAGTCTTTTCCTGTACTCTGGACCTGATCACTGTACGCCTGGGATGCCGCCTTTGCGGCCACAACCGCTACTGCTGAACTCGGCGTGCAGCACGTGCGGAACGCCACTGGCTGAAGTGCACGTATGTCTGCTGCATGATTGAAGTTCATCTTGGCCATCAGAGCAAGCATCTTCATCACCAGGTGGTTGTCAATAATGCCGCCCACTGCTGCACGCTCAGCACTGGTACGTGTCTACTCCAAGTGCTCAGCCAAATGATTATGCAAGGAATCCAGTATGGCACACACATGAGAGCAAATTGGACATGGTTTCACGGCACATACCCTAGAATCCCTAGAATCTCTTCGTTGCTTCAAAGAGGGTGCCGGCGCAAGCTGTGACCAACTTAAGTCTCCTTCGCAAAACAAGCAACCAGCACTGGAGCTGGTTGCGACAGACAAGAGCTGATGCTGATTCGAATCTTCCACTTAGCGGGTGTTCCGGCACAGCTCTCCGGAGTAACGCTCAAAATACAGCAAGCTGCACTGCTGAATGGGCGCCATGGGCGATATTGATCCGCATGTCCTTGTGCTTCTGCCAACCACACATCTCAGCGAACTTCATGGAAAAGCCGAGAACCTTATCACCGCCATGAAGAGGCACTCCAGGAAACTGGGACTCATAGACCTCAAGGACAAGAGCAGCTCGTCTCCCCCTCGCGACTTTCTTCACGAAGTTTGGACTGTAAGTAATGCACCACATGCCAAGCCTCAAGGTTTTGTGCAACTGGTCCGCTTCCATAGGCTTGGTGCCGGCATCACAGAAACATTTGCCGTGTTTGTCCTTCGCAAACTTGTGTTTGGCCATCGCAAGACAGCCCGCAACCAAGCAATGGTAAAGGCAAGGGACTTCTTCTTGAAGCAGGGATGCCTCGACCTTGCTGTCACCGCCAACAGAAGGTTGTCAACGTGCTGGCGGCTGACTATCATTCGTTTGGCCAAGCGAAGCTACCATTCTCTGGCACGTTTTGCGAACCTTGGCCAAGCAGCCCCCGGGAACCCCCGCCCAAGCCGGTCGTTGGCCCGAGTGATGTACAACTCGCGGCTGATGTGCGGTCGCCTTTGAGGAAAGCTGATTTTTTGCGTCCTTGCCGTGCCGGTTGGCACGTCACGGCGGGCCAAGTTGGCCCTGTCCTTAAAACCAGGCACGACCAGCCTCGTTCAGCCTCAGTCAGCACGACCTTGAAAACCAAAGTGCGGCCCCGCTCGCCCTTCTGCGCCAGCCGCTTTCTCACTGCAGCCGACTCCCAGGGATCTCAACAGCCTCGTTGTGAACATGAGCCTTCCAGCCCTGGGAGCCTTGGCCACAATGACACATGATCTTCAGGCACGCCGGCAACCAACCAGATGCCCTTCCTGTTCCGCAACTCAAACTGGGCTCAAACTGCAATCCCGAAGGTAGCGCAGGTAGCGATCACCTGCAGTCCCAAGCGCCATGGTCGTGCTCCTTCGCCAGGTTCGCCCGCGTAGCCTGACGATCTTGATCCACTCGTGCTTGCACACGAAGCAACTCTGATTGGCAAGGCCAAAACGCTCGTGACTGTTGCCCCTCACAGGGAAGCACCATCGCTTCAAAAACCCCGTGACGACTGGACTTACTAGCAACACGGAAGGAAGCCTCGAGATTCGGAGAAAGGTCCCGGAAGTACCGCTGCATCAGCACCGCCAGAAGGAAGCCCCGGAGATTCGGTTGAAGGTCCTGAACTCGGCGGCGCGGAACTCTCGGCCCTGATCCCTGTCAGCCACCAGCAGGTCCACATGCATATACTTGCTCGCCGACCGAACGAGGTGAAGGCAGACACGGCTACGAGAGGCCCGCTGCTCTGCACAATCGTCACCTCAAAATGAAAGGCCCTCCAACTGAAAGCTTGCCCGCCGCCGCGGGGAGGTAGACCTGGATTCGGGAATCGAAGAGGAGAAGGGCCTTGCAAAGGAACACGGAGCGGGGCGCAGAGGTCCAAAGGCGTCACAACTCAAGTTCCGGTGCGACTGTTGAAGCCGCTGCAGGAAGAGACCATGTGAGTTAAATCTCTTTAGCACGTAGCAGCAACTGGCTAAAAGCCTTCGAGTTATGTAAAGCGACAGGAGCAGATAGGAATATCAGGGCTGCACGGCACATGCTCGGCCCCAACCTTGAAACCGGAACACCTTCGGGAAAAAAGAGCAGAAAGGTTAACAAAACAGGGTGCTCTGAGCATTATCAATTAGAAGTGCATCCCAAAACGGACTACGACACTGATAACTATCCAGGTGGAAAACTACAGTGTGCAGTAGCGGCGACTTTGGACCGTTACACTGGATGCCATACAGGCACGAAGCTAACCGAAACTGCTCACTTTGCTTGATCGATACCAAACCTGCCATGACCCGGCGATATTCTCACGAGTCTCTGAAAGCTGCAACAATCAAGCAGCTGCACCATTGTCCGGGTCTCAAGCCGAGCAAACCTCAACCACATGCCACCATTACCGGGAAACGAGTTCTGAGTTTAGGGCCAGCCTTCAATCTCCGCAGTGGCTGCCACGATCCCGGGCCTCAGAGCCCAAACGTGGTCCCAAGGAACGCGGCGTCCACCGAAAGGCCCAAAGAGGCGCTCAGAACTGCGCTGGCCACGATGTTGCCAGATCTGCGCGAACATGGCGTCGAAGCCCTTCTTGCCTCGCAAGAAGCACGTATACGACGTATGCTTTGGGGGACAACTTGTGACTTAACTTGCGAGCGAACGTGGCGGATGTTAAGATCATGGCTTAGAGCTATCCCTTGCTTTCTCAATGGGTCAGCACCTGAAAAGCCATGCATCCGACAGCCGGCTGTCGTCTGAAGGACAGCACATCATCCGAGCATGTTGCAAGCAGCGGCGAAGACTGGCCCAAGGAGGGCCTTCGCCTCTATGAAGCGATGAGCTCACTGCAAACAAGCAGGGAAGGTTCACCTTGCCCATATCGGAGTGGAATTCCGCCTTCATCCTCATTCGGACATCTCCGAATTCACATCGTCACACGTCAGCATCAAAACAGTCCTGAGCACGTTCTTCTGGAATGGCTCCTTCTCGACTGCATCATGGATGTCCTCAAGTAGCTATCTAGCGGTCAGCATCGCACCAGTAATTATCACCAACCACGGCAGGCGCTCGAATGCACGAAGCTGCGCTTGCTGCACGACGCAAAGCTCCTCAAGAAGCATAAGGAGCTGCTTGAGGCTCAGCTCCTGTGCAGCGCGGAAGCTTTTCCGCTGAAAAATGGCTCGGCTCAGATGGCTCCTTGGTCTCGGCAGAAGTGGGACTTGGCAAACTACACCCCAGGAACCTGTTCCAGAACAACATGGAGACGCGAGGACATCCAACACGGCACAGCTCTGGGACAGGCTCACGAGCCAGGTAGCAGGAGTTCCCTTGGCCCTTCCAGCTTCTCAGTGTCGGGAAAGCTGACGAAACCTCCTCCACTGCCTCAGAGCATCCAGCGAGTGCAGCCAGCCGCGCAGAAACGCCGGCCCCGACTTGGCCCAGTGCGGTGCACGATCTTTGCATTTGCCAGCGACTTCTCACCCACCCTAATACATGCTCCAGCTCTCCGTGTCAGCCAGAAACGATCAGGTGGTTGCCTCTGCATAACCTCTTTGCGCAACTGCAGGATGGTGCTCTTCTCCGGAACCAACAGCACGAGACCTGAGCAAGCCAAAGCTGAAGACAACTGGTTGCACTGCCATGCCCAAACAACGTAGACAAGCAAAAAGACAGGAAGCAAACACGGACCAGGAAGGCTGCATGCAATGTCCACTACAATTTCGGTCGAGTAGAGGCCTGCCGGATCCATCTCGTTGATGTACAAACTACCAGAAAAGCGTGCGGCTGCATCCAAGCTTTGAGATTTTTGCGACCAGCGGTTTGAAGGACGTGGCCCCAGGGCCAGGAATGGGCGATATAGATAAAGGCATATCGCCGGAAACTCGAGAAGTCAAATAGGCCCTACAGAAATTTAGACGCCAGACCGCAGCTGCCGCTAATAACCAGTTTGTGGAATCCACTCGCCGAACAACCCATCTTGTTTGCATGAAGAGCTGAAGCAGGTTCATGTCGCTTGGGCAACCTTGAAACCCACTTTCCATCCGCAATGATTATAAACGTCATATGCAAGCCAGCTTGTTCATGTTGGCAAATGCGCTGACCGCCATATCAAACAAAGAGGCGCCGAGTGTACTGCGAGCGCCCTGCCACGTTTGCAAACTACAAGTCCGTTCAGGGCTACATGGATTATATTTGACACCGCTGAAGCCGTTTTGGGGTAGATGAGGGTGGTGTTCCTACAGCAGCAGGGCAAGCGGTCGACAATAGAACAATCCGGATCGAACGACACGCTTGTAAAGGGCAACCGTACTTCGCGTCGTTGGATACGCAGTCAAGGTTGACACCAGCAACAGGTAGTTCGATCCTCTTTCCTCGCTTCTCACATAATCTTCCGAGAATTGAAGATTTAGTAACTTAGCCGTTGCTCAGATTGTTTATCTCCCATCTCGAAGCGAGTTCCAAGGCACACTGCTCGTGCAGCCGGAGTTGTTGTCAGTTCTGCAATGGGAATTTGGGTATAATTCAGTGAACGAATGATGAACATACTCAATGTCATTGCGCTGCAAGCTACCGGTATTACTACTACCCATGCCAGTGCTGATGGGCCCACGCTGGCCAGGCTCTGCCACAGTTCTTCCTTGGATTTCTCCCATGTCGGTTCCACGAGGGGTCTTCCACATGTTTCAGTATGCCATAGAATGATTTTGGCTGACAAGTTATGCTCAGACGCGCTTCATACGCAAAGGCTGTGGTGAGCCGGGGCAGGTGGTTAATACGGCTCAGGCTCTGCGGACGAAACTCCTGAGTTCCTACGAAAGGTGGGGGACAAGGCACGGATGGCAGCAAAGCAAAGCACAGAGCTCCGCAACGTCGTGATGTTCGTGATGCCAGCCATGATAGGATGTTCGTGACCGCAGCCCCTCCCGACTCTTTGGATATGATGCCCGTTATTGTCACGTGGCTTGACGGTCTCTGTGGCTCCAACCACTGGCTGTTCCCTGTTGGCACTTCTTCTTTCATTGCAGATGACATTGTGGACGCAAGATGCAAGCATGATGCCGGATGCGTCTATGCTGCGACATACAACTATGACACTATGATGGAAAATACGAGTATGATGCCAAATGCGAGGATGATGTCGAACACGACGGTTATGCTAGATGCGACTATGATGCCAAATCCTGTGCACAAGATGCAAGATGCGGATACAAAACAAAGCTCGGCTGTGACGTCAAATCCTTTCGAGTTGCTTCAACCTGCCCCCGGTTTGTACAAAGACGTGCTTTTGATGGCATGCCACCATTGCGGTCAGCTGTTGAGGAGTTGTTGCCGACAGTTCTCGTGCACATGTTCGTTCGCAGCTCCCGAAGTTGTATTTCCGTGCAGTCTTCAGCAAAGCTGCAGCAAGTTTCCAGTGACCTTAGTGTTTAGTTTAGCGTACCAAATCATCTTTTCGCTGCTTGTCTCGTAAGAACCGCAATCGCCTTGTGCACTGGCTTACTATTCTCGAGTGGTGAAAAACCAAGCGCATTTTCGTCCTTGGCAAGCATGCACCAGTTTGTGGGGGATGATTGTGCTCAGATTTGTCGATCACCAAACATACGTTGAAGCTTAATTGCAGGAGGGGAACCCTGCAGCTCAAGATCCATGCTTATGGCCAGCACCTTTTTCTTACATTCCCTCCGAAAACACTTTCCTGCCAGAACTGCTGAGGCTTGGTGGGCGTGGCCTTTGGATGCAATTCCTCGCGCATTCAAAAAAGCTGCGCTACGTCGAGTAAGCAGCTGGCTTTGTTCCGCTTGCGTTGCATGCACCAGCCTCATTGCAGCGAAGTACACGGCGTGAGGTTCTACAACACCTCAGCAACAACTTATATACTAGGGACAGGTCTTCACTTTGATCTCTTTCGGCTTGGACTCCTGTGGACGTTTCAAGTCCATGCCAATGAGCACCAGGCCACCTGAGAGATGCCACCGAAGCTTCAGCAGCTCGCCGAATGTTCGCTGAAAGCATTCGTCGCACCTGAAACTTCGCGTTCGTAGGTGCCCAATGGCCGCTCATCTCGAAGCACCTGCATTTGATGTATTGTTGCATGACCTCCCAATTGCCCTGCCGAGCAGCGATGTGCAGCCGGGCCACGTCATCCCCGGTGGAGGAAAGCAAAATCTTCGACGGATCACCGTGTCCAAGCTCAGCCACAATCAGCTCCTTCCGTCTGCCAGAGCACAACACGTCTCCGAGCACGAGTTTCCGAGATCCTTGAGCTCGCGAACGAGGAAATCGCTGGCAACTGCCATTTCCAGTTGTTGGTCAGGATCCAGCAGGCTGGTGATCTGCGCATGCAGTGCCAAATGCTGCCAGCACAACGGAAACAACAAATGCAGCGGGCTCGAGGTGGTTCGGATGTGAAGGAAAGGCGTTCATGGAGCGTGTGGACTGGGAAAATCCCACGGGGGCGACGCACCTGTGTCCATCTTAACCGACATGCTGGTGTAAGAATAACCCAAGCCCGAGGCCATGTGAGCGCGTGCAACCCTTGAAAGGACTTCCTTTTCCGACACTGTGTCCACAGTGTCGGAGCGTCAGCTGTTTGCGCGTAGCAGCCGTGCCCTGTCTCATTCTCTAGACACTATGCAGCCTGATCTGCAACCTGATCTTGGCTGACCCCTATCATCTTGAAAAACGATGGAAAACCATAAAGCATGTGGAAAATGCCTGCTTGTCTGCTATAAACGAGCAGGTAAAAGCAAGCACCACTTAACTTGAGTTTGTGGGACTATCAGAGTGGAGGATCATTGCATGAGTGCAAACACCAACAAAATCGCATTACAGTTGCATGAGCCCTAACAGTACTTCAGAGTGTGTGGAAGACTTCATTTCTGCACAAGGCAAACAGTAAGAAAGCAACATTATTCCATGAGCCGGGCCAGCGCAAACCCAGGACACCACCGAAACCCACAACTTGCAGCAGACCTCAGCAACGAAGGTGGCAGTACCCCAATGTCGAGTCCCCGATGCCCCACTGGCTTGCTGAATAATGCACTGTTCAAGCCTTCTTGATCGGGGCCTTCAGGCACCGAACGCAGGAATCTATTTGCTCTTAGCGTGCGCGAAATGCCAGGCACCGACTCCACGCCACGAAACCTAAAACCGATTTCCACGGATTATGCGAACCTCAAATCCCCCAAACCTTTAAATATAGTTCATGGACGCTCTCTGACCTAACGGTCGAGGGCCTGCGAGGATGTAGGGTAGTTGTTGGGTTGGGATAGAATGTTTTAGGGTAATGCTCAGGCACTGAAGGATAAAAGGTTTGGTCTAGGATGGTCTTGGGCTAGCTCTAGGGATACAATGTTTCAGCTTCGTGAGCTTTAGGTTGAGTAGTTAAAAAGGGCCTTGCGGCTTTAGAGTTTAGAGTGCTCAAACATGACGGACATTCAGTGTAGGGCAGGGAGGACTTTGAGCTTTGCTCGTAACGCCTTTGAGCAGTACTCATTGCCAGACAGGAACCTTCGTCATCAACCGACCAAAGCAAAGCAATCCTGAAGAATCAAGTCTTTTCTCCTGCTAGCACTGAAGTCTACGCAACGTGCCTTCAAGTGCATCTCACGAGGTGGTTGGTCCCTGGCGAGTGCACGATGCAATACAAACACAAACCATGCTGGAAGGGGGCTGACCGTAATCCTGGAATACAGGATCTTAGGACAATGATTGGTGAACCCGAATCCAATCTTAGCAGTTGTTGAGATGGAAAGACTCTGGCTAGAACGAATGTCACCACTGGCAGAACTCACGGGTCTTGGGCATGCCTCAGTGGGCATCCTCATCCTCCTCATGCCTGCATGACCCCTTGTCACTATCACTATCTGAAGAGAATGTGACCACGAGACATCGAAAGCCGACTCCACCAAAACCTCATACAAACACCGTCCCGGCAAGGCATTCCAATCCAAATGCCACGGTCCAACTACATGGCATATTCAAGCTTCAGGCCGGATCCGATCTCCAAGAGCCAAGACAAGGGAATGGGAACCTTCCCAGTCGCTCACCAGATGGTTCGGATTTTGGTGGGCCTGGGACAGACAGCTCCCCATCTTTGAAGGAGAGCACAGCACTTGATGCAAAGCCCCGCACGTTTCGCTGTCTGTGCCGCAGGCACCTCTCTAGCTCCCGCCGAGTGCAAAAAGCAAGTTCGCCAGCTGCAAGCATGTCTAAAAGTCAAAGCCTCTGGTGCTGGAAGGTCGGCCTGTCGGAAGCTCATTGCTAGGCACAGAAGACAGGAATTACCTGAATTTACGACTGTTTACGGGCTGGTTTTCGCCTTCTTGGCAGTGCCCTTGTTGGCTGTGACCTTCTGTGTTTTCGGAGGTGGCCTCTTGGTCTCCTGCACGCTTCCAAACTACAGGCGATCCGATTAGAAACCAAGACCCGACCGAGACCAGCAAGCAGCCTCCCGCGTTCAAGCAATGCCAACGCTCTGCACAAACTGCTCGCACCTCCGTGCCTGTAGACTCAAACCGTTACAGAATCGTCGTCAAGACCCCTCCCCGATGCCAACGGCCAAAGTCACAGCATGTTACTTGCAATCCTGTTCGTACTCGTCTAAATGCTACACTCCAGGCAAATCAGGGACTGCTACCAGGCAAATCAGGGACCGAGAAAGCTCGCAAGGCTTATCATGTCCTGTGCACTCGGCGAATCTGGGAGATCGCGGCCCAGAAACCTCGCTGAGTTTTCTCGAAGGCTGACGGCCACCACCTGCTGTCCATGAATTGCCGAGGTACAGCAGCTCCCGCTTGGCGTTTAGGCGGTCCCCGTCTGCGAGGCCTTGAAAGCCGCCAGTTGCGAGTCCTCAGACGTTAGACGGACAGACAAACACACAGGCACATGCCAAGAAGGCCAAGAAACAAGCAATCACAACACGAGCACTGCTGCCCAAGGGGCTTTTGACCACCTTGCAATTGCTGATGCTCGTCTCACCGAGCCTCCAGGTAAGATGCCAAAGCTAAATCACGGCATCTGAGTTGCGACATGACGTGCAGCAGCAAAGGGCACAAATCTTGATCAGCGATACTGGCTTGGACGACGTCCCTTACCGATAATAACAGATCTTGGCCTTATCATCGCTTCCTTCCGGACATCGAGCATGGTCGCTGTGTCCAAAACGGAAATGGTCAAACCTAAAAGTGTTTTGTTGGCCACATGCTGAAATTCTCAGATTTGTTGGCCTGTTGACCTCATGGCTGAGATAGGAACTCTGTGGCACGTCCGATGCCGCGTGGACCAGCCTCGGCCAAGTGGATGCCAGGGCCAAATACGGAAGCTCCCAGCCATGCAGCATGCAACAACTGCAGCAAAAATGCAAGCTTGTCAGTCTTTGTTGTGCCACAACCCCAGGAATGGAAAACGCTCAGAGCTCAGCTTGACTGTCACGCTCTTTCCCTTCGACATGTCGATGCCCATCACAATCAGTCCACCTGCAGTATACATTTTCGTCATGGGTTGCTCATCTACACACCAAGACCGAGAATCTCAGCACCCGCCTGCTATTTCCGATTCAATGGAGCTCAAGGCTACATCATCATTGAGTGCCTTATATCATCAAGCATGGTGTGGATAGATTGAAAGACTCCAGTCGAGAAGGCCAACACAATCACCTTGCATTGAGCCTACTTGCGACGACGCCAAGCATCCGGACAAGTTCGACCCGACGAGCATACCAAAATGGTACGACGCACAGATCCTCTTTTTTCGAGTGGTATGAAAGCGCATCGCGCCGGGTCCGTCGCCTTCGCCAGAGCCAGGCTGTACTGCGCGCCCGGCGCTTCCCAACCCCACTCTGCCCCGACAGCCCCCTTCACACCGCCAAGTTCACAAGCTCGTCCGCAGCGATGTTCACGGCAAAGTCGAAGTCTTGGACCGCCTCGCCAATGTATGCAAGATGCCCCGTGCCGGCGGCTTGACCATGCGTCGCGCCAGCTCCAAGTCCCCTCTGGAAACGGCGTCGGAGACGTTGGTCTTGGATGGCACCCGACGAGAGTCAGGTAGCCAGTCGGCAAACGGTGGACCAAAACGCTGTTGACCGCAGGATCCTTCCCGTAGCCCTTATAGTCAGGGCCCACTGACCAGCGACGTTGTCGATGAATGCCAGCAATCGCTGTGGGAGCCGACGGGTCAACGTGGCCAATGCCGGCGAGCCGGCTGTCGGAAAGGACGGCTAGGCACCACGATCCACCGACACATCCGCCTGCAGCTCGCCAGCAATGCGGTCTTGGAACTCTTTCACGCGACGCTCCACCGCTCGCCTATCGGCCTCACTGAGGTAACCATCCAATCCACCGCCAGCAGACGACGAAGGCATCTGCTGGCACACCGGCGGTGGTGGGAACGAAGCCGTCTTCGCTGGAATATGACCACGGCCGCGGGCGATGTAAAAGTCTGTCTTTTTGGGTGTCGGCGGCCGACGCAAATCCAACCTGCTGCCAAATCGCCGGTGGCGGCGATTTCCCCAAGCCCTACCAGCGCCGGTCGCGCCTGTTGCCCTGTCGATGTCTGCTGGGGCCTCAGGCGCCGGCTGGGAGGTGGATGTAGTCGCGCGGGCGCCTTGGGCATGGCCTTCGCCTGCACCGCGGCAGCTGCCTGGTCGGCCCACGTAGCCTCAGCCCTCCCCACGGCGACGACCAAAGCATGTCGCTGGAGCCGCGTTCAATGTCAGAAGTGGATCGCGACGTCGACGCCGTTGTTCAGGGCGTCTTCCAGGACGGCGACAGCCGCCGCAATCTGCGATGCATTCACGGCCGACATAGCTCCAGCGAGGAGAGTGCTAAAATGTGCTAAGCTGAAGCTAAAAATCGTCGGGCGTCGCAAGGCCTGCGGCAGCTGTGGCACATGCGTCGTTCGACGAACTTGTCCCTTCACACATTTCATGTGTTACACCCCAACCGAAGATGTTTAAATAAGCTCCTCGCGTTCTCGCCACTTGTTGAAACGACGATCTTCGCTGGATTCCCGCGGCCGACTTCCTTCGAACTCAGCTACTCAGTAAGGCTCTGGAACTTCGAGTGCCCACAATGATCGGGGCGCCCGTCCTCCACAAGGCGCTCCTCGCAGAATGCGGAAAAATCACAACGAAAGGTCAAAGTCAGTTTTTGCCACATTACCTCGACGTGAAAGAAGTCGCCTTCAGCTGCCGCACCAAAAGGTTGTTCGGGAGATTCAAAGTCAGCCGTTGGTCTCCGTGTTGGAAATGGGTTGCCTGTCCGGATTCAACTCCGCCGGCCAGATGCTTGCTGGTGACCCACGGACGCCTCCACCTCCAACTCCCGGACTGGTGGCGGTGCACTCCACAGCTCCTCCACACAAAGGCTCTTGGGCGACCGCAACTCATTGCTGCAATCCGAAACCATGTCCGCCATCTTCTTCGCATCGTAGCCCATGCTCTCACGAAGCTTCATTTCTTCCTGCTGAATTCGACACTTGGCAGCCACAACGAAGTGCCAATGCGACGAGTGACTAGTGTCTGTACAATTTCACATGGCCATGGCCTTCCGGTCAAATATATTGTGGCTGCTGTAGTTGTCCCCGTCCTTTCAAATCATGTTTTTGAGCGCTTCTCCCTGGGCACAGAAATCACGAAATACGGCAGGTTCGTCACGATGCGCCTCTTTGCTCCATCGCCCGGGGGGTCGCTCCACGCACTTTTCCGGACAGTCTCGAATATCATCAAGGATGGCCTCTTTGCATCAGCTGAGTCTGAACAAGCTATCTGCGTCTGCATCTGTGGGCCTTCACGATATTCTTGGCCAGCTTAGATGCTGGCTCCTGCACTATGCAGAGCATGCAGACAAACCTAGCCTAGGTGATTTCATGTCCTCTGTCAGGTTGGGTGCTTCTTGACGAGATTTACAGCCGCCCCACACCTTCGTCTGCTGCTAACATGCTAACTTTCGGCCAATTCAAAAAGGCTCATGCAACAACATGCGCAGTTTGAGCCCGTTGCAGGCTTTGGCTCACCCTGTCTGTGATAATCGTTTGGGTAGCCTGGTGGTTGGAATGTGAATCAACTAGCACGCTTGACAGGGCACCCATGCAATGAAGACAAACGAAGCAAAATAAGCCCAACACCGAGAGGATGTTGGACATAGCGAACTCCCTCGACCTCCATGGCCAAGATCTTGAGCCATCTCATCTACTGTCCACCCCGCCTGCCTGCCGATCACAAGAGATGTGCGAGTGCCCAAAAATGTGACAGCGCGAGCCACAAGCTCGAGCCTCGAGTTTGGACACTGATTAGCCGGATAAAATGCGTCAGGAAACGGAACCTGCTCCTCAATTTCGCGGCATCCCATGACGCCACCTGCGTACACACGACACTGCAGATGCGACAGGCTGCCTCATCAGCTTCACTGAGTGCTACACAGAGCCGTCGCGGACCGGGATAACATTCCTTCTTCAGAACACGGCAATGTCTCAGGAAACAGGTGTGACTTGATCGGCACTTGTGTTGCATGGAAGCTCTGCGACTACTCTGGCGGCTCGGCCGCCGCTGGCAAACTTGTTGCTCGCACACCCGTAATAGCAACAAAGGCTCCCCGGTGCTGTATCACGTTGATCACTGAGCTGAATTCAAATTTACAGGTAAATGCTGTGCGAAGCCTGGCGTGGCACAAAGTGACTCATCGTCACAACGAAGATCTCGTCATCGTCCTGCATACTGCAGCTTCATAGGAGATCCGTTCAGCTCAAGGCTTTCCCTGCGATTCCTTGGTTTTCGGCAGCGGTGGCAAGACTTTGCCATCCAATTGAGCCTCAGTCACCGCATCAGGACGGAGAGTGTGTATCTGTCGAATCTGCAGGCTTTCGTGACGAAACACCTCCCTCGGAATACTGGATGCCTTGGCACTTCGACTAAGGCTGCCTGCTTGTTTCGCTTCCTCTGCAACGACTTCTGCCCTTTTCAGGGCATCCCGAGCCTTGCCAGGTGTGCAAAGAGTAGTGTGTGAGAGTGGGACGAGAACTTCATTGGTCGAAGTCCAAGAATGGCACAGCCGGGGGTGCTGCAGCGATGCGCCGTTCATTTAACCTCGCGCTGGCTGCCCTCTGCAATCTGTGCACTCGCACAGCAAGAGTAAGGCGAATGCGAGAGGAAGAAGTCAGCAATTTCGGGCTGTTGCGCATCATTGGTGTCCCCACCTGAACGAGGACACATGATTCCGCGGTGCTTGCCGTGGTTGTTGCCTTCTGTGGGAGCTCTGGGCTCAGGAACAGACGTCCTGTTATGTCCCACGGCCACTGCGTTTGCATGTCAAAGGGGATGTCCGCCAAGTTGCGAGAAAACCTCACATGTGATTGCTGTGGAGCATGCAGCAGCTCTGCTGCGTCTGGGAGCTACACCCATCAACCAAGTTGTCCTGCAGCTGCGGACGAATGTCTCAGTTTGGTCAAGTCAGAAGTGCAGACCTGGCATCCGCAGCCTGCGCAGCCTGCTATTACATGAGTCTTCATCGATCGGTCTAATCTCAAGGGTCAACGCAATGTCCCAGTCGGGATCTCACGGCCCGTGTAGAACTTTCTGTTACACGCCGAACCAGACCAAAAGCAATAGACCAGGAATGAATTGACATCCAAGAAATGTCTGTCCGTAGCAAAGCCCGTGCAGAACTCAACCATCCGTCAAGGAATCCGGAAGTGGAAATTCTTATATCAAAACCAACGGAAAAACATCGGAAAACGTGGGCCAGCGCAACCCTCTGGCAAAAACAGCAGAAGGCGGCAATCCCTAAATACCGCCAAACATCGGGAATTTCCGACCAAGAGGCAAGCCTAAACCCCAAATTGGAGCAGCGCAAGCCCTGAAAATAGCAAACACGAACCATAGCCAACCCTGCACCAAATGAAATTTGAGCTACAATACGGCTGCCGGAACAGAAGAAAAAAAATCAAGCACAGCAGTAGTAACTATGTAAACACACGACCTGGCGAATCATGGTTGTCACGGGGATAATCGGGGCATACCGGGGCTTCTGGCTTTAATTACTGCTGGATGTTTATGCCTACTTGGAAAGAAGAGTGTCGGGCAAAAACCGCAACAACCAGCATCAGTGCAAGAAACCTGCGCCCCTGATTCCAGGACCCCGTCATGGGGTTTCTGGACGTTTCTGTCACAATATTGAAAGAACCGTGTCTGGCAAACCACAACTCGCGCCTTAGCGTGAGCAACCTACGCCTGCCAGAAACCAGTAAATCCGACCCGGTGCCCCAACCTCGCTGCCGAGCCCCGCCATCCGGCGTTTTTTTAATGGGTCGCGTCACCGTGTCGGGATGTCGTGGACCAGGTGATTTCTGCAGATCTCTCACAAGCCGCATCATCCTGTTTCATGGTGATCAGTCCAAATGGAGACAATGCTGCAACGAAGCCACGGGTAAAGGCTGCAGGACCAACCGGCAATCTCCCGAACCTTTCTGTCTGCATGCGACCATGCGTCCCTTAGCCGACTGTTGCAAGCCCTTGCACCGACAGACTTCCTTCCCTCACTTGGCATGTTCTTTGGCAAGCATGCTGCAAGATTGTCAGCGTGCCGCCACCGCACGGTATCGCAGACAGAGTCATCGTGCAAGTGTGCAGAATCCCTGACGATGGCCGGAGCCAAGCAAGCGAGAGATCCAGCATGTTCCAACTGTGAGTTGTTGGCTCAACTACGCTACCTCTTTGAAAGCGACAGTGCCTGGAGTGCGGTCCTTGTACCAGGAGAACAGCGGGCACACAGCGCAGTCTGAGTTAATGAAGGCAGGCCTGCAGCAGCAGCCCGTGGTGTAAAGCTATCGCGTTGAAGCACGGATCTAAAAAGATCTGTCCAGACTTGGCCTGGTGTGCACGCCAAGTTCTTCGCAGATCTGGCAGGGCTGTGCCCACTTGGAGACTTGTCACGGTTGCGCTAAAGTGGGGTATGCTTCAGCCTCCAATATCGCGAGGAACTTGTGCACGGATGACAAGCCGTCCTTCTTGCTCACCCACAGCCTGAATCTTCGAACATCCCTTATCCGTGGAACTGCTTGAGGCATTGTCTGAGAACTGCACTCGTGGTTTCCAGGAACATAGAAAATTGCTCCAAACTTTGCCTCCGAGGCATTGACACGAGCATGAGGGAATTAGATTCGGCAAATTCTCGAAGCCGGTAATGCTAGCGATGCCTGCAGCAGGCGAAACGACGTTTCGATGACCTGCCCGAGTTGCAGCTTACAGGCTCACGGTTCTTAGCTTCATCCTCCAGCATCCGCCAAGTCGACTCTGCAGACACAGCACTGCTGATGGCCCACGTCTTATAACGACTGGAGAGCGGATCTGACAAAGACCCGGAGCCTCCAAGCTCGATGCAATATCTCCTGCGAGTAAGAGAACTGTATCCTGCCAGTGCTCCGTCCAATTGCAGCAGGTACTTGTAGCAGCCCGTAAACCCCTCTTACAGTCAGGGACTCTTTGGCCCATCGTCACCCTCGGCAATAAGATCAAGCTTTCGCCTCCAAGGACCTCGAAAGCGATGAAGGCAGGTGGGCCACCTACCTCCACCCCACCTTTTGATCCGCTTCATGCCAAGAAGAAAGCGTGAGACCGCCTTGAATACTTTGCAGCTCAAGAACTGTCCTCGACTTCGGAACGCTAAAACGCGACACGTGCATCATAATCAGGTTTGTGTCTTGCCACTGGCCGAGAAATATCCCTTGTGCTACAGCTTCTCCCAAACTGCTGGTTCTGGACAGGCGTTTTCGACGTTCCTTTCTAGCTTACCTCTTGCCCTCGGCTTAGCCACATCATGTCAGAAAGTTGAAGCGAAACAAAATCAACGGTCCTGGCAAATCGGGAGCTGCTTGAGATGAGTCATGTTTTTACCTTCGGCAAAGAAGAATGCACAGCTTCCAGCAAAGCCACTTCTGCACAGAAGTGCAGAGCACTCAGTCGAGCCACCCATGTCAGAGTGCAGATCGCTCCACACCACCACCTTGCTGTCGACGCAGGGAGAACATAAGAACACTTTTGCCAGCCAAAGTATGGCGAAGCCTCGGAGAACTCCTTCTTGAGCCTCGGCCAAGCCTGCAGCCGAAAGAGATTGAAATCACCCAAAATTCTCTCAGCGCGAGCTCTCCTCCGAAGGATTCACATCCAGTCGCCGCCATCGCCGTAGCATCGTCTCCTGCAGACGCATCTGAAAGAGAGCATGGTCGCGGCATGCCTCCGAAGGGGTCCTTCGGCAAGGCTATCGCCTGAGCAACGAACAGGCTGCCCAACACTTTGCAGCTTCGCGGTCCTGCCTTGTCAATGCTTGACTCCACCGGAGCGAGCACCGGCTTTGCTTCAGCTTGCTTCGGTGGCTTCTGCCTGGATCAGTGCTGCTGCCGGCTGGAGGCAAGCTACAAGCTTGTGAAGCATTTCATGGAAGCCTTGTTGTCTTAAAATAGTGCAAGATAGTGTCGAACATGGCTAAATAGTGCGCATTAGGGCTTTACGTCACCGAAGCTGTTGTTAGAATGCGGTACGATGATTGAAATTATTCTTTGTGGAGCTATGCACTCCCACAAGACGACCAACTTCTTGCTGGTTGTCCGAGCTCGGGTGGGCTTTTGCAAGATGATCGCTAGGATTATTTGCTTAAGGACGATTGAAAGGCCACAATACAAAATCCTAGCTACTGCTATTGGTTTTGGCGGGGCGCAGGGGTGCAAGACCGACTATGCACTGCCAACGATACCATCCTTGCTTAGCTACCGGCTTCTGCGAGGAGGGACTCTCATTGGTCTTCGGTGGCACCTTCTCCTGCCTGAGCGCGCTGCAATGCCAGAAGTTGCCAGAAGGCCGAGTCAGCTGAGCTGTGGGCCACAGAGCATGAGCAGCCACATTGCAGCCACATCGTGCACAGCCTTTCGAAAGCAAGGGCTCTCCATGGGTCACATGAAGTCACGTGTCTGGAAGCAGCAAAGGACAGGACGGGCGTCTCCCACATCCTGGCTGTGAGCTCTGAGCAAGCCCGACGCTGTGAAGACTTTAGGTGCCAGGCCATGTTCAAGGAAACCACATTCTCTTCCAGAGCCTGGCCGTTCTAACCCCTAAAAACCAGGATCAACTCTAAAACGTTCCGATTTCGCAAACCGCTGTGCGTCTGCCTCCGGCTCCGTAACAATGAAGCATATCACGCAAGAATGCTTCGTAGTAGAGGAGCATAAAGGAGCTGAACAGAACCATGCACACCCAACTGGTTCTTGAGTTGGGATTCCTCAGCACGATTCCTGAGCACGGATTGACATCCCCAGCAACCAAGCTGGGGAAACCTGGAACAGCATCCGTCCCACTATATCGGCCACCCCTGTGGTTTAACTGATGCCTCTGTATCATGCACGGTCCAACCCTTCCAGCCCTGTGCATTGCAAAGCAAGCAAGTCATGCTACTCGTCATAAACAGGACCGTCTCGCAAAGCACTTGCATGAACACTGCTGACAGCCGCCCCGCTTGTTGCCTCAGACGTGCAATCGGTTAGAAGGGAGGCAGAGGAAGGGAAGGCTTGGAGATGCAAGAAAAGAGAGGGAGAGGGAGTGAATCGAGAAAGAGGCCAGGGGAAAGAGATGCAATGGAGGAAGAGGGAACAGGCATCAACGCAACTTTGAGAGAGATTACAAGACTCCAATTAAGGCCAGCTGCCCAGCAGGTCTATGCAGGGACCATCTGCTTCCTGTATGCGATGCTATGACAGCGCTGGAAAAGAGGTGAGCAGAATTGCTGAGCATCTCCTCCCAATCTGGGACATCGGTCGTTTCCACGACCTCCCACTCCCCGGCTGCTCCATCCTGGGCCGCAGCATGCTGCTTGACGGTACGAGCGGGCAGTGTATCCTGTTGCACGGTCCTTGTCCCGGCAGACAAATCTGAGGCGTACCTGACACTCTTGAAACCCTCACCAACCTGTGCTGGCACTGCACGTGGCAGTCTTGCTGCTCTAGGCACATCGGAGCAAGGATGTAAACCGTGGACAAGCATTGACTTGCCTGCAACAGAAACAGGACGACTCGTGCATAACATACCCGATATCCTCCAGCTCTGCAGTTTATCTCGTCTATGTGGGGTGCGACGACGTGTCTAGAATTGGAAACGGCCTTGACTGCATGGTGTGCAAAAAGATTTGCCAATCTCACACTCAACCTCGAGATCGTACTTGCTCATGTCCGTCGGAAAACTCAGTTGAACGGAGGTCGCAAAGGCTTTCGTGACTTTTGGTGCGGGAATTTGAGGGCGTAAAAGTTGTCCGAGGCCCAGCTCTTTGCCGTCGAGAAGTATCCAGCGGCCTTCACCCTGCTCCAGTGCCTCAGAGCTCAAAGGGCTCTTCTCGTCCAGTAGAAGCCAACCTTCTCGCGGCTGGCCGTCCAGGATCTCACCTTTTTTCACGACACCAACGGCATCAGCCTGGGTTGATGGTAGGTTGCGGACCATGACCATGTTCACGACCACTTCAAATCGCGACGTTGGTGCTTTGGCGTATCGAATCCACTTGCTCAAGTCTCCCAGATTCGGTTTTGCACGGCTCTTCTGCTTTGGCACCGGCACCGGATTTTGCACCTTCACTTTTGGCTCAGCCGGTGCGCCCTGGACCCTCTCCAATAGCCGCCCAAGACCTACAGAGGTCCCATCGATCAGCATGTACCCATCGCTCTCTCTGCCATCCGGAAGAGGATGCGGTATTCTCAGCCAGGGCTGGCCTGCAATCTCCTGGACGACCCCTTCTAGAGTCTTGCCCTGTGCATGAAAGCCCATGATGCTGGCCGTCGTACTCGGGGTCTTGCGGATGATAACCCTGGTGTGCACAACCTTCCACGTCGAAGACTTTCCGGGACCACCAGGGTAGCCTTTGGCCAGAGCCATGGCTCAATGTGCGAAAGCATCCAACTGTATAGCGCTAGTATCCCAAGTCTGGCAGTGCTGGCAGACCAGATGCATCCGAAGCGACAGCTACTGTAGGCTTGGAAGTAGCTTAGTTCAAGTGTCGAACCTACAGACATCACAAATGATCCTTACCAAACGGCTAAACAGTCCGGTGGCTCAACCAACCGAAAGACCTAGAAATGAGTCTGAGTTCTTGCTTGACAATCATTAATCATAATGCTGTTCATTTGCAACCACAAGCTCTTGCAACACAGTTGTTAAACCAAGCAGCAAAAGCTGTCATTGAAGCTCGGCGGGCAGAATAGTGCACACATATTATCGTTCCAAGAGACGGCTTGGCGTTGAAATGCGTTAACACTCACATCGGGGACATCAACTGGACATCTTGAGCAGTGTGGTGGTGGCTTCGTGCTTCTCGGGCTCGGGACTGGGCGAGCAAGAACACATGTCAATGAACTGGTGCCCAATTCTTACTCTCAGGCTCTGCGGCTTTCCGCAGCTTACACAAACATAGCAACAAAAGCACAGAGTCGCTCCTAGAGCAGCGCCACAGCATCATTAAAATTACGCTCAGTAAACATAACATCAAAGCCAGTTCGGACAATCATCATAGGCATCAGCTAGTTCTCTGACGAAAACTCTTAAATTAACGAACAATATGTGCAGATTCAGATGTCCACTAAGCTGCGACTGACGAAAAAAAGAAGAGATTCCATTCTAACAGGCCGCACGCGGTGATTTTCAATACTGGAAGCGGCCAACAGCCAAACCAGTGTTCTCCGCAGAAGCCGCCCCCGACTTCGTTCAGCCTTGCCGGCGCTCCATTACAGGCAACACTTCTTGAATGTCAAGAACTTTCAGGAAGACTTGAACTAAACTGCTCAGCCGCTGACTTGGGCTGGACAACCCCTCCATAACCTTCGTGGACAGGGTCACACGTGCTCGACATGTTGAAGAAAAGAAGACATGGAAGAACAAGGAAGATGAAGGGAGCGTGCCACTCGAACTCGGCGCGCCACCTCGCACGTACCGGCTTCACAGCGACTCTTTGTGCAAACAATCTTGCCCTCGCCTCCTTGACCTCCGCGTCCGTCAATGCGAGGCCTCAAACACATGACCATGCCTTACTAGCTTTATACCTACTGGCAGCACTGCCGGCATAGTGATCGTGGTGCATTTTGACCGAGACTGAAGGTCAAAAAAAACTCTCTAACAGGACCTCGAAGGTTTGCATGGATTCTCCTTTGGCTGTAGTTTCGGAAAATGGTTTGGCATTGAATCAGCATGGCTGAAGCAGGCGATTGCACGTTCCGCTCTCCAAAGCTGTGCAGTCTTTATCGTATAAGCTTCACATGCATAAAACAAGCTGGGATGAGGCCACAGAATTTCAGTCTCTGTTGTAGCAACCACCCTGACTAACCTGTTTGCAGCACTGCGATGTTGGACCGACCAGCGACTCGGCCTGCATCCCCAAAACATGCTTGGCCGATTCATTCTCGGAGCGAATCTCAAGAATCTTGGGCAAGCTTCCACACGTCCAGGCTTCCAGTTGGACTGCTCTAGGCTTGACACGGTTGCAGGTGTCGAGTTCTTTGGACCGGCAAATGCCGCACCCGCCGCCAGCATCGGGAAAGACAAGTTCAGGAAGCGGACCGGGCTGATCGGCAAGTTTCTCATGTGTTTTGCCCATTAGAATTAGAGTCCTGGAACTGCACCGAGCCGGGGAACAAACCACTCGGTATGTAGAAACCTCTTCTGGCAATTCGCTCGGCCACAGGGAAGGTGAGACCTGAAACAGGCCCCCCACAGACAGGACGCTGCCATCACCGCATCTTCCGGCTTTGCCTTCGAACATGCCCTTCTGCAGAAACACCGGCTGCTCGTGCATCGGCCAAAAGAATGGTCTGTGCTTGGCAGGCGCTGAACACTATTTTGCAGCGCAGGCATATGCAACATTGCTGCAGCATCTGTCCTCGTGCCAACCTTGGCATCTGCAAGTCTCCGCATAACCTCCTCTGCATCAGCGGCCACTGTGGCCTCCAGCTCGACCTGTTTCAATTTGAAGAATTGCACACCAGCTTTCTTGTCACACAATGTCACACATTCTCTCAGACCCAGGCTCCGTAGACCCAATAAATATTCTTCTCGTTCTTGTGGTTCACGTCCTAAATTGCAGATCATAGCCGGCGTCTGCCAGCAGGACTCAGAAGGCTCAGCTGCACGCAGGAGGTAAAACCAAACCTGGACAGCCCTTCAGCAACGCGCTGTAAAGCTGCCCAATCTGCACATGACGCGAGGTCTTCACGCAAAGTCACACACACACATACAAAAACAAAAATCTGAGTAACTTTTGACTACCAACATATCCAAGCAAGCTTTTACCTAGCTATCGAACTCGCCCAGTTGTTTTTGTTTTGTGTCTTTTCTGCATGGCTTGGGGCCGGTTGCTGAAGCCCAATGCCTCAGGCACATCCTGAGTTTACCGAGCATGTCCCACTCCCGCTTTCCGACCTGCCGAGACTTTACTGGTACGCCATGGGATCCTGCCGCGCCCAGCCACACAGCCCCAGGGCGCAGCTTCTTTCAGAAGTACCCTATGCACTTCGTGTCCTTAGTGTCTAGCGTCCACTGCTGTGGCAGTTCTACCTCATGCACTGCAGGTCTTCCTACTGTTGCGGCTCTCAACTTTCCCACACTGCCATTTCTTGCTCGCCCCTAACCGTCGAGTGCCAATAGCGCCAAGAGCATGCCCAACAGCGTCCCCTCGATGAAGGAAATAGAAAGCTTTGTCTCTCAACTATCTGATAAATTGATTGTAGCGTGCGGCCTTGAGCTGCAGTCTGCCTCAGTTCCCTTTCTGAAAAGACCTAGCACATCGGCCAAGGTAATTTTGCTCTGTTCATTGGTCGGCCGTGCAGCTACTCAACATTGATGCTGCAAACAGGCCTGAGCCAATCAATGAACTCCTTGCTTGACTACCTGCATGTTTTTCGGTTTCAGCCGCAACTCGGAGCAACATCAAGCTTGCTTCTTCCACAGGTGACCACCTTGTCCCGTTGGACAAACCCTCTTCTGTCATGACATGTTCCCCACCAGTGCCCTTCAGCTGTCAAGTGCATCTGCCGCACCATTTCAATGGTGCGAGCGATCACTGCTTGCACGGCTACTGTCCACAGTCTCTTGCTCTCTTTGTTTGTCTCTTCAGATTGTCAGCCAGAGGTTTCGGACTCGCTGCTGGGCAGATGTGCCCTGTCTTCCCATGCTGTCCCTCCAATGTTGGTCACTGTTGCTTCCGTGCCAACAGTAGGGTGCCTGGCGGGCATTTTGCAGACTGAGATTCCACCTTTTGCCCTATGTTTTCATTGGTACTGCAAAAACACTTCATGGTGCCAGGTACCACCAACGAATTCATCCATCGTTAAGTTGCATCGTTCTGGTCGAACTTGGCACACTTACTCCCCCATGCGGCCCTGGCTGTTGCGCAAAGTGGAGTTGGGCTGAAGGTTTGCGTTGCTGGGCTGAGGGTGTCCGGCCCAACTGGCTGGCGGTGGTAATCGACTTGTTTCCCATACATTGCTTGCTGTGATGCAGTGGTAAAGTCTGGATAAGCTCTCCCTCTTGAGTGTTGGCGTTGTTGTTGTTGTTGTAGCCGCCACGGACCAGACGGCCGCGCAGTTAGAGGCTAACCAACGGGCTGTGGGCGCAACCTTCTTT